TAGAGACACTACTTTTACACGTTCCTCTTATTTTGTACTCAGATGCATCTCTTAAATTGCTTTAAAATATTTAAATGCATATATGTTTCCATCTTTGCTAGCCAAGGGTGTCTGATCCGCTACTACGATATTAATTCTATTTTCATTTTTATCAAAATAAAATGAGACTAGATGATTATTTTCTTCTTTTAATCACCTTTTTCTCTTTAACAACAATTAAAACTACGTTTACAAATATATGCAACATAATACCATGAACTTTCTTTCTGTAAAATTAGTATAATTTCAAGTTTGTCAGGTTATATTAATCATAGACTTCCTCTCTAAAATATTTTTGAAACTAAAATATTTTTGTAACAAAGAGTAAAACATAGAGTAATGTTACATAAAAGGAATACTGAATTTAGATACTTTTTACACAGACTACGTCAATCAATACCTTTCATCATTCTAAATAATACAGACTTCTCTGATGAGACTGTAGCTCTGCTGGTTTAAACTTAACAAATATAAAAGAAAGTAAAACGAAGAACTTGGACTTAAAACATTTTTTAACTTTACAATAACAGAAATACTAGTATGTATCCTGATGTTTCTAAACTTTGCACCGTTTTGTAACCAAAAAATCAAAACTAAATAATACAACTGTGAAAGATTTTATACACTCCCCATGTTGTACAAAGCCATGGCAACGCCCAATTCTGTGTCTTCATTTAGTCTTCTTGTGTACCAGGTTTTATTAAAATTACACAAAAATTAGGAAGGTTAGCATTTTGAAAGAAACTTCTGTTTGAATAATTTACCATTACCAATATCATTTGTCGAAATCAAGAACTAATATAAAGAATTGTATTATATAGAGGTAGTGTTTTGACTGAATTTCACAGAATTTTATTATTTCTGATTTGTACTACAGCTCGACGAATCAAACATTGATAAAAAGAAATACCTATTAGTGTAGCCTTTGTGTTATTGAAATCGAACAAAAACTTTTTTGGAGTGTCATTTTGGGAAAAAATGTTTACTTTTGCAATTTAAAATCTTTTCTGGTCTTCAGTACAGTTAAGAAAAATTGAAACCATTTATCATTTTCTGTATCAATTATTATTAGGTAAAATATCTTTTTCCGTTGTTAGGTCCGATGGACGTGCAAGATTTGCTTTCGAAACTAAAATTACAGTATCAAGTGCGTATTTCGAATATTTTTTGACAATGTTTGCCGTTTTTCATGTCTTTATCTGAGATTAGATGAATATGTTGCAAGCACATATAATCTTGACTCGAAATGAATTCGATGATGGCGTCTAGTAATCTATAGACTGGACCCTCTTGTAGTCTTTAAAGACAGGTACTTGTATCAAATACAAGACAGGTACAGATATCAAATAATGATACTAATCTATAGACTGAACTTTTGTGTACTCTGTCGAGTGGAATCGAACGGTGGGGGACGAAGTTCCTGTCAAGTTACTCATCTCAGTGTTTGTCGTCAGACGGTTCTGTAAAAAACACTTGAAAACTGATACAAATCCTTTCCTGAAGTTCTTGTTCATAAAACAGTAGGTTACAGGATGAACAAACGAGGACACATAGGCCAGAAGAAGCATCAGAGACCAAGCAAGATTCGACACGCGATTGTGAATGGATTCGTAGTGAATGATCTTCCACGTGCTGCAGACGTACAGCGGTGTCCAACAAATGAAATACTCGAGCACAATCACGAACAACATTTTTATTACCCGTCGTCTGCTTGATATACTGTGACGTAGATTAGAATGACGTAAGCTAACGTGGTCGCCATTTTTCTGTTGATTTCCTCGAAGAGGTGTCGATAGCGATGCATTATCTACGTCGTTCTTGGACGTACCAGACAGTTTACTTCCAATTCCGTCTAAAACATTAATGAACTTACTGTATTATTTAGCATAATAAGCAATTAATTTCAAGTAAACTTTCAAGACAACTCATAATGTATTCATTAAAGGAAACAAATAATTGAATTTCCTTAAAACAAAATATGGATGGACGTGTTGTTCAATGAAAAAGGCGAGCTACAAGCAAGGAAACAATACTGCATGGTCTTTTCTTTTGTTCATCTTTTCCTCGTAATCTGGAAACCTACCTGTATTGTCATTGACCTGTTGAGTGATATCTGCCCACAGCCTGAATGCAATTCTTCCATAAACCAGCGCCATAATAAATAAGGGGATAATGAACAAGATCGCGCATAAGGAAACACTGTATACAATTTCAACAGTCCTCATGTGTTTTGGCCAAATTTCGCGACAAGCATGGCGGTCTTTGTTTCCGATTTGTATCAGTTTCTGTGAGGCGGCGATTGGGATCATCAAGGTCAAGGCTAGAAGCCATATTCCTAGGATGCACTTATAGGAGTGAGATCGGGTCTGCCATCGACGAGATCTGAGTGGTTCAACAATGGCGAAGTATCTTTCGAGAGAAATCGTGACGATAGTAAAACAACTCACTCCCACAGAGACAGCTGAAAATAAATAATAGGTGCTTGTTTCAAAAGTTAAATAAACAATGCGATCTTTCGAAGAGTGTACATGTACGTAAATGTGAAAATTATATAATACCGAATATAATATGGAGCAAGAACCATTAGATTGACTGACAAATAAAAATATACAATGTACAAGACAAAAAAATGCATAATACATTGAAATACATTCTATTTAAACAGTCTGATTTTGTTCTAAGTTTGCTTTTTAAAAGTTTACATGAATGTAACGAATGTTAGCGACTTACACTGTATAATAATGGCCGCAAAAATGAAAGTAAATCATATCAAGTTTAATATGCTTAGTATTTTTTCTTTTCTACCATGAAAACCATATGTCGGTGTTATATTCTACGTAAGGAACATTTAGGTACATGTTGTATATAATATCGGAGTTTTCTTTGTTTTTTTTTTCTTCCCTCAGAGAACCTATTTTTCATTTATTCTATAAATCATATGTTTGCGAAAGAAGACACACTCCTTAATCCTTACAGGTAAATCCTTCTTTCTGGAAAAGTAATCCGTCTTTTATGACAACTCACCACTCTTCAAACACCTGCCAATTTTATGATTTTCTCTGTTGTTGTTTTTTTTTTTAATTTCTATGAATTCTTTGCTAAAAATACCGTTTCTTGCACCAATAAACCTTATCTAAAACTCACTTTTCAATGAAATGTTTTGAAAAAGACCAGTTCTTTTCTTCAGTACATTATTTTTTATTGAAAATGCATTTTTAAATGTCATAAATTTCCTATCAACGTTATCACAGAAAGTATTGCCTGAAAAATCTGGACTCCTGATAGATACATGCAAGCAGTTTAGTGCCTAAATTTTTTAGTGACTCGAGTTTTGAGTCTTTTGCTGCAATTACCATTGTAAGAACCGATTTTTGTATCAAAGAGGTAAAGTGGGACTAATGGAAGTCAGTTTTCATTTGCAGGCTAAAGATTGCCTTCGAAAATACATTAGATACAGTGATCTTCAGTTATTATTTGATTTTCCTCCGAACAGATTTACTCTGCTCAATTGGAAAACCTAATTATGAGAGAATATTTGTTTTAGATTTAAAAGTTCGCAAAAAAGAAAGAATTCGAAGATCCTGCATAATACAAAGAGCTGAAATTTTTACTTGTAATTTTGTAAATAGCGATTATATTTTTCTCCGACAGTCATTATGGCAATGTTTAAATCGGTGTTCAGTAATTGTTTTCATTGCCCTGCAGGGTCTAATGCTCATAATAGCCGCAGCAACGACATTACTGGAGCTGCCACCTCACAAGAGCTCATGGAGTGGAGATTAGAAGATGTCTAGATGAATTAAAGCCTGTTCTACACGATTTTAGCATTTGATTTAATGAGGTAGTTATTACAGCTTTTCATATTTCAAGTCTTAAAACTTTTTTTTTCAGACTTCGATGGAATGAAGTACAGACGAAATTTTATCCGTATTTTTGATTAGTGTGTAGCTCCAAACCAATCTATTTTCATATTTGCTATAAGAAAATGTTCTTGTTATCATGTTTATAATTAATGAGATCTTAGTTTTGTCCTAGGGTCAGTGCTAGACAGATAAAGACGCTAATATTCCGACCTTGGGTGAATCAAGATAAGAGGGGTCATGAACCTAGATTACTTTTCTGATGTACGATGTGGATTTGATTCTACATAAATGTATTGTTATAAGCAATTAATGACAATACACCGATATAAAAGATAATCTTAAGATTGCTGAAAATATCACGTCAAATTCAAAACTCGGATAAACAAAATCTTAATTGCCGTGAAGATAGCTGCAAGTCAAAAGGTCATTTCGATTCTGTACTATATGCGTGAGAGACAAGTACGAGTACCCTCCTTTTACCTCTGACATCACTTAGTAATCCCTATCAATGACGGTAATCTTTGGGGGATTATATTGAAACAATGCAAGGCAAGCAAGTACCTTTTCTATATAATACATGTATATATAAACAGCAACAGAAAAGAAGTTAAGGATTGAAAATTTTGGCTCGCAACCTAATAAACAACTACCCCTAGAAGTTTCATTGGAGGAATATTTGCATCAAAGAAAATTGATTAAAGATAGAAAATAATAGCATTTATATTTATTTTCAAACAGTTGTAATAGAAAGGAAGGCCATCATCAGAAAAAAATTATGTTCTACTTGAAAAAACAATGACTACTTTTCTGAGCACGATTGGGTTAGCAATAAGAAATTTGGTTATGATAGGCAAAGATAATTGTTACAGTGGAGGGCTTAATCGATGGTCATATTTTAGGTGATTGACTGTACTTGTCAAGTTGTCATATATTTTGCAAAATTTGAATTTACCGAATGGCAGTAAATACAAAATTTGCAAGTTTTGTATTTACTCACACCCGGTAAATTCAAAATTAACAACAACACACTATTCACTCCTGTGACCTATTGCTATCCGTTTTTGTCCGTCGTGCGTAAACTTTTCATTTTTTCAACTACCTATTTCAACAGACTTGCCTCAAAGTATCCTTAGCTGAAGATAATGCATTTTTGTTCAAGTGAAGAACAATGCCCCTTTTGAAAATTCAAGAAAAACCAAAAACAGGGTGTGGTCATTTAAAAATCATCTCAAGAACCACCGGATCAGAAAAGATGAAACTTGTATGAAAGCTTCTTGACTTAGTGTAGATTCAGGTTTGCAATTAATTATAATCAGATATTTTCAGGAAGTAAAGGTTCAAATATGTTTAAATCATGATTCCTGTTCCTTCCCAAAAGGCTCGGCCATTAAAAGTGAAAGTCTCAGTTCTTTCGAAAGAGACCTTAAAACCGAGGTCCCGTGTGATAGTAGGCGTCGGCACGATGAGTAAAGAACCCTCGTTGGCATAGGTCAAACTCAAAGCAAGGACGTCTCTACAGAGGTGAAACATTGTCGACTGGGATATTAAACAACATACAATCAATCAAAGTAATTTGCAACGTTGCACAATTACTCGTGTTTGAATTCATTTCACGCAAGGAGTCCTGTTATAGCTAGGACACGATTTTAATTTCTTATTGTCCAGAGACCTTGACATGTATATGACTTTGAATTAAGATTACGACATGCAAGCGAGTACTGAGCAATGGTGAATGATTTTTCTAACAGACAAATAGGCAGACAACTAGACAGAGACACACCATGCCAAAACAAATGCCTCCTACCGACTTTTTGGAGATACTTGTACAGTATCAATGATAAAGGAAAAAATGCAAATTTATCGTGATATTCATTAACAGTGTGTTGAAGTTGTAAATTAAAACCTCAGAGTAATAATTCATCTTCATCACTTCAGCGACGGAATGGTATATCTTACGAAACCATATTAAAGTACTAATGAAGCTCGTGAAAAGAACGTGTTGTATTCTCCCACGCGAGCTGTGTCGTAGCCACCAGACTTTAATTGTTGTGTACGGAAATCACTTTCAGGAGCATGCGATATTGCATTTTTGTCTTATTCCTATGAATTATTAAAGAATTGTCGCTGGATTTTAGCCCTACGGAAGAGCAAAACAGTCGAATGGAAGTCCTTCGGGATCCTTTCACATTATAGTAATTAGAAATACCTCGGGCTGAGTGCAACGTGATGAAAAATAAAGTGTCAATTGATTACATTATGGAGTAAGTATGGTGCACATTGACAAGTCCTCATTTCTTAACTAGCTACAATCAAATTTCAGCAGTGACGTCATTGTATAGGCCATTTAATTCCTTGATAACATTGTAACATAAACACCGCTTTCATGTATTTAAGATTTTTTTTTTATTTAGGAACCTTAGGACTAAAATACTGTGAAAGACATGACTCCCTTTGAAATGTAATGCAGCGACTCATATGTCAGAGTTGGACAATACTGTTCTTTTTCAATTATCATTTTGTCATGAACTCCTCTATAACTCCCAGTCTTAAGTACATGGCAAACAGATGGGGACTCTGAGAGACCTTGGTTTAATAGTTTGAACATTTGTAATCTAACTCAAGCTTTCATTGACAAATTTAAGTGAACATGTGAAACAAACAAAATATTCAAAACTTGAACTGAGGAAACATAAAATTGATACAACCTATAAAAATTACATGAAAAGTCTTTATTCATGAATTCACGCCCGACCTCTTAAAAAGTAATAAATACAAATGTTTTGAAAACTCTGTTGCGTCTTCCATATTTTCCTCCAATAAATATTTTGTTATTTGAGAGAAAATGTTTATAAGATAGGCACCTTTCCTCAGGGGGTGGGGAGGGGGGAGGAAAAAAAACAAGCAAACTGTAATACGAAAAATTCAAAAGCGTTCGGTGGAACATTCCTATGCGGTACAAAAATAAATTATGTATACAAAAAAGCTTATCTCACTTAATGGAAAGCATGTTTGTAATTCCTTTTACTGGGAGATATGTATAATGGAATATTTATCGAGATTCTCAGCTAATCGCATCCCACCAGTGGTAGGTCAACTTCCGAGTTCTCCCGTGGTGAATTCTCTATATCATGTAGATTTGAAAATGAAAATGGATGAATTTGAAACTTTGCAATAATCTCACTTCCCCACCAAAAAAAAAAAAAAAAAAAAAAAAAAAAAAAAAACACTGGATGATTAAAAGAGGGTTGTTAAATGTTTTCTATTATTCTTTCAGCAATCATGATGATGTTTCATTATTTTAATTCTCAAAAAAATAGTTCTATGGTACATTTGCTACTATGAATCTCGAGATTTTATGGTTGGCACGTAATCTTTAAAAAAAATGCCGAGGTTGCAATTCTCACAATAAGAGATATTTATCCTTTGAGTACTCTGGGAATTTCGTTACAAGTGCATGTCTTTAAAAGTAATGTATTGCATACTCTTCTGAAATTAATTCATTGAAGAGTTTGATCAGACAATTGACATTAGACAATACATTTATAAAAGAAAAAAATACAGTGTACAACCAGTGTAAAAATATTGTCAAAATAATGGA